GGAGTATTGGCATCTGCAAACTTAATACAATAAAAATTAAACTTTTCAAGCAAAAAAAAACCATTTTTCAAGGATTTGTTGGGGGACTAAGTGCTGTGATTCTTAACCTTGGGCAGAGGATCGGGTGATATGGCTACTTGCAGGGAAATCCTTCAGCCATGGAGGTTGAGGAGTTTATAGAGGCTGTCAAAGGAGTGTTGTTGGCACATTGTGGAGGAAGATGGACAATGCCTATTCGTCAATCCTCTGGTTCTTTCCAGTTAAATCATTTGTCAGGAATTTGGTGGTGTACTGAAAATAATACACAGTGTGATCAAGCAGTTTGGATCTTTCATTGCTTGTTTTCTATCTCATTAACAGATTCATTGACAAAATATGCGCTGGTGATTCATTTGAGTTAGAGGCTTCTACTTTCCCAAGTGATGGTTATTTTGGTGGTATGCTTTCATGTGGTTCTTTGGAGAAATTGGAAGTAAAGAATAATTAGAGTTCAGGTCAAATGGTAGGTCACATATTAAGTAGCATGGTTGCCGGGATCGCCTACTTTAGTAGGCAATCCTTTCTAGGATCTCGATTATATCGCTCCCAGAACGGATTTCTCAGGCATCTCGTTTTTTTAAATTTTGGGATCTTGATTGTTAGGGATCCCGACTCTTGCTATTAGGGATCTCAATCCCAACCTTAAAGACCAAAACAACAATCAAAATAATGACTTTTTTCATTTGTAGCCAGCTAGCAACATAAACTGTACTTTTAATATAGTTGCATTGCTTGCTTACAATAAATAAAAGGATCCCTTCTTTAAAGAGTATATATAATCCTAAATTGTCATGCACTTTAAGGTAGGTAGCAAGATTGGGATCAAGATCCCAAAATGTCAGGATCAAGATTCCTATAAGGTTGGAATCTCTATCCCTAACATTTGGGGATCTCAATCCCTAATATATGAATTGTATGGACGACGCTTCCAACCATAGGGATCTTCTTGCATTTCATAATCCCCCGCTCCCAATCCCAATCCCAATCCCAGTACCATTTCTGCTCCCGATCCTAGTGACTATGGTGAGTAGAGGCAATGTCATTATCTGGGAAACTTGTTTGCCATTTATGAACTGTCAGCAATGGTAGATATGGGCCATAGGATCACAAACATCCAACTACCAATGATAACATTTGAAGAATGGCATCCCCCAGGTCTGGATATCTAAACCCCAAGATGATGAATACTCAAAGGACAATTCAGGACCAACAAGTATTGGAAGCTGTCGTGCTGGGACTATTAGCTAGCAATTTGGATGCTGGGACTTTAAGCTGCTGTAGTTTTGGAATTGTTCTTTTGTACTTTTCTTACTTTTTTCCTTCTCCATGAAAAAATGTGTCCAAATTCCATCCCTTTCATTCACTTATTTTGGAAGAAACCTAGAATCTGTAGGCTTGAATTGGGATGGAGCCACGATATTTCTCATTTTGTTGAGGTGGGGAGAGTTGAGAATCCATATTCTTTATTTTCTGGATTTTTCACAGACACTGTGTGCCCAAAAGCTTGCAATCTTTAGAGAAGGTGCTTGAATGAGCTTAAATTGATGAAAAAATGGAACGATATAACCCCAGAAGATCGACTGGTTCTTGAAATGTGGAGTTAAGTATTGCAGACTGATATCAGAGATTCTTGGACAGAAAATGGCTTGAGAGATGTTTATATTTGATGAACTGCATCATGTCATAATTGATAAAGGAAAAATTAGAAAAATTAAATGTGAAACAATTACGTGAAACTTCAGTTTTGAAACAGGATTCTTGTGGAGGACCACGGGAAATAGGTGCAATACGAGCTCATCGGAGTCAAATGGGATCCATTGTGTCTAGGTGAAAGTGCATGAAAAGTAAAACAACTGAAAATTAATTTATGCTTTAAACGACGTTCCTGAGGAATGTTATCAAAACTGGACCGGACCTGGCAGTTCAGCTGGGCCAGTCTGGTCCAAAAGAAAATCGTTATTGATAAATAAAAATCATCCGGAGCCGGTCAAAATCTGGTCTAGCTGATTGGTTCACTCAATAAGTACCGAGTTGGCCAATCCCATTTTACTATTTCTGGCCCCCTAAGGTCCTATCTTTGGGCTAAATTTTCTTTTGCCATATTTGACACCATTTTTTAGAACTTAAGCCCAGATGGCTCACCAGCCAATGAGGTCCGCCATTAATTTGAGCAATTCAAATTTGATTTTCTTCATAATAAATTAGTTGTCTTCTAATAGTAGCGTAAATGTGGTTGTTAATGGGCTCTCTAATCTACTTTCTCTGCAATGTGTTTAATCCCTCTCTCTCTCTCTCTCTCTCTCTCTCTCTC